TTGTATGAACCAAACCATACATTTCTAAGCTTTTCTTCAAGCCTCATTTCATCTATTACCTTTGCAAACATTGCAAGACCAAACATTCCCCCCTCCTTATTCTTCTTTGTTGATACGTAGATATCCACGACTTCCCAAAATCTTGCGAATTCTTCTTCTACCTATATCATTTTGATGTGTTGTAGGCTATTTGTAAAATACCACGTAGTAATATCCTCAATCTTTGCTGCCTTGTCGTCTATCCTACTTTGTCTGTTCTTCTTATTATAGCTTACTTGGGTCCACTATGAATATTTCACAGGTGCTTTTATTTGCAATCTCTCTCCGCTAACTCCTCTCTCTTTTTTCATTTTATATTTGTTGTAAATATCAAAATCACGCTCCTAAACGTTTAGTTCAAGAAAAATGTGATTTACTTATTGGAAAATGCTAACGAGTGTCCCAAGAACACTCTTTAAATTTTTAAAATAGTAAGTTTTTTTTTTGAAAATATACATATTTCAAAAATTAAAATTGTTAACTTTTTTATAGAATATATATATTTTTAAATTTAACATGGTTAAAGAATGTACATGAAAAACTCATTAGAAAAACCTTATTCTTATATTTGAGAAAGAGTGGTAGCAGGTAGCAAAAGTCTTTAATTAATTTGTGAAGGTACCTAGAAGCTCCAATCAAGGTTGTTAAATTCTCGATTTAAAAGCTAAACTCTTATATTTTATGTTTTTAGATAAGTATTTGGTGTTAAATTGCAGGTAAAATCGTTTTTAAGTAATATCGTACTCCCTCCATTCTTATTTATAAGAAAATTTTAACAATTTATATTCATTAAATAATTAATGTATCTAACATATATATAGTCTAAATACATCATTTCTAGAATGAACCTAAGAAGTCAAAATTTATTTATAAAAGAGAATGGAGTGAGTATGCTCGAACAATTTTATACATTTTAAATTTCTGGGGAATATATAAAATCGTGCAAAATCTTTGAATTTTACTCTTTGACTTGATTTTACCTTTTTTTCTTGAAAATCTAAAAAGCCTAGCTCAATAATACTTCTCCCACTTTATTATTTTATAAACTTTAAATAATTTTTTTCATTAGACATTAAACTTTTTATTTAGCAAAGCAAAACTTTTATAGGGATACAAAGGCTTACTATTTAAACCGGTAAAAACTACCTATGATAGCCGGTTACAACAAACAAATATGAATTATTAATGTCGGTTACACATTGGGCCTCATCAAACACAAAAATAATTCACAAACAACAAAACTTTCTTACACAATAAAGTAAAAGCATGATTGCTTTTTCCAAGATAAGATTCCTTCTTATCTTTGCATGCATTTGCCTTTAGGAAATTATTGCATTGTTCCTAGACAAGATAAGATTCTCTCTTGTCTTTTCTCTTTGTCTTTTCTCTTTGTCTTGAGATTCTTTATCTCTTTGATTTGTCTTTTTCTTTCTGAGCCATAGATTGAATCATCGTATCCCAGAAATCTTTAGGAGTTGGGTCATCCACTTTGGCTTCTTCTGCTTAACAATCAAAGTTGTTGGAATCAATTGATCTCATAGAAGAGCTAGTCTTGATAGATGAATTCTCATCTTTTGATGTTTTAGTTGGAAAAGTGGAGAAGAACAGGTTCTTCATATGATCCAGAGTCCTAACCATAATTTCTTCTTCTAACTCATTTGGATATTTTTTTCTGAAAGAAGTTCTTTAAATTTCCCATAGACATTTGTTGGGAGCCTTACTCTTTGACTTTGATCTTCAACTATAGCTGCTTGAATCAGAATAATTTTATTCTGGATTTCTTCAGAACTCATCTTGTTCCACCATTTATAGAAGAAATTTCTTTCTAAAATGAGTATGTTGAATTTATTTTGAGATATGGTGATAGACCATCTCCATCTTGTCTAGGAGCAATGCAAAAATTTCCTAAAGGCAAATGCATGCAAAGATAAGAAAGAATCTTATCTTGGAAAAAGCAATCCTGCTTTTACTTTATTGTGTAAGAAAGTTTTGTTGTTTGTGAATTATTTTTGTGTCGATGGGGCCCAATGTGTACCCGACATTAATAATTCATATTTGTTTGTTGTAACCGGCTATCATAGGTAGCTTTTACCGGTTTAAATAGTAAGTCTTTGTATCCCTATAAAAGGGGTTTTTCTTCTCTTTTGTAAGCATGCAATTTCAATATAACAAATTTTTATATATGCTCTGCCTCCCTTCTATCCTCTCTCACTAAATTTAGTTTATAATTTCAATATACTGATTCCGCTGTAACCGATATTAATAATTCATATTTGTTTGTTGTAACCGACTATCATAGGTTGCTTTTACCGATTTAAATAGTAAGCCTTTGTATCCCTATAAAAGGGGTTTTTCTTCTCTTTTGTAAGCACGCAATTTCAATATAAATTTTTTTTATATATGCTCTGCCTCCCTTCTATCCTCTCTCCCTAAAATTAGTTTATAATTTCAATATACTGATTCCGCTGTACAAACTGGTATCATTGCTTGGTAACAAAACTAAGGTATTTTTCTTAATCCAACTATTTGTCAATGACACTTAGTGGCTAAATATTTTGTTGTGGAAGGTTAGATAACTTAGATGAAACTAAGTATGTAGGTTCTTCTCTTAAAATTAGTATATTTATATCATGGCAACAAGTAATAAGGGTTTATTCAAAACTAAAGATGTTTTTTAGTGTTTAAACTCATCGTTTTTTCCAGTGAAGGGAGTGTTAAGATGATTTTTAAAAGAAAATTTTTGCTAAAAAACATTGGACATCTTTGATTTAGGAGACATCCTTCTATCCCTTAGGGTTTATAGTTAAACAACGTTTTTATTTGCAAAGATGACTTATCAGTTGTTGCCTAGATATATTTGTACTAAGATTATGAGTTAAATTTACCTACTTAGTTTTACCTAAGGTAGTTAATCATCCACAACATCTTTAGCCTTCCATCGATTCTGATGATGATAATCATCAAAATAATTTGATTAAACATGAAGAACTTATGGAATATCCAAAATTTTTGAATAAACTTAATAAATGGACAATTCTATCAGTACCTTCAAATCAAATTTATAAATTTGGTAAAATAGATTTATTATCCCGCTTTGCTGTAAAAAGCTTAAAACAAACTATTCAAATTTCTGAAAGTACTCAGACAATTAAACTTTTAACAAAAAAGGATTTACTTCCTTTTAAAAATTATAATTATATCCATGTTGGTTTAATACAAGTTGTTGTTAAACCTTTGACTTTGCTAGGATTAAATACTAGCATCCTGGGATATATTAGAGATGGTAGATGTAAAGATTTTAAACAATCTTTAACTGCTTTAATTGAGACAAGTCTATGTCATAGACCAGTTAATTTTGATGTCTCTCCCTATATAAGCTTATCCATGACTGATAAAAATTTATTAGATGCCCTTCAATTAACTGTTCATACCAATGGTTACAATTTTAAACAGGATAGTGAAATAATAGCTATATGTTATAGGGTTTATTACAAAGTTCTTACCACTTAAAATCCTATAGCTAAACAAATATCATTTCCAAGAACTACTACTTTAGTTCAAACTAATTTGCTAACATCTAGTGTTGCAACTATTAGGTTGCTAAAATGGGATGAAATTAATTTTTCTGAAACCTGGAACCTTCCTCAAGCCATAGAACTTGAACCTATCCTTAATAAGGATGTTGATCAAATAATCCAGTCTAGTGAAGGAGATTTGGAAATAAACTTTAACTCTAAAAGAATTATTAGAATACCTAGATCTATTTCTAGAAGACATTCGGTGAATTCTATAAATGAGTTTTACTCTACTCCTGGTCAATTACCTAGATCTTTTACTTCTCAATTAAGAGAAGAAATAGAGGTAGTCAAAAATATAATACTTAGCGAAAATAAAATGTCCCATGGAATATATCAAAAACCAAATCCTCCTAGAGTAGAATCGCCTATCCCTCAGACATGGACTTCCCGTTATAATGTTAGATTATTCCCCAGGTAGTAATCTAAGAAACCTTGTCAATGACGAGTTTCAGCATGAAAGATACACTCAATTTAGAAAATGGTTTTTTAAAACTTTTTCTGCCCCTGTATTAGCAAGTTTTAAAGATGAGTACTATACTCAGATGTCTATGAACCAAGATTTCATTCCCTTTGTCAAATGGTTCATTAGTTACTTTATAAGTAAACAAAAAGAAGAGTTGGTTTTTATAAAACAAAACGAATTTTTAGTTCTACAAAAACCTTGGGAAAATGTCAAAGGAGAAAGATTGGAATCTCCTTTTCCCCCTGAGCAAACAATAAGTTTGGGTCCTCATACAGAGGCTACACCTTATCTTACCCTTCAAAGGGTCAAACAAAATCAAATGACTCTTAAAGAGTTAAATTCCATAATCAAATCCAATAATTATACTAATGTCTACCTTGTTTGCCTAGGAGAACAATTTATTTCTCTAGAAAAGGAACTCTTATCCATAAAGGACCTTTTAGACAAGCAAATAGCTCGTCAAAAGATTATCATTGACCTTATTAATTAGCCTAAACCTCAAGAACAAGCTTCTACATCTAATATTCCAGATGTCCCTATAATTCAATCTCCTATTCCTATAGAAGGATTTAAAATGGAAACTAACGGTGATGAGTTTGTCCGTATTCTTGAGAAAAAGCTTAAAGATATACATTTAACGGTGATGTCTAATCACGACTATTCTAATGAAGAAGAAATTAATGATTTAGCAAATAAGTTTGCTGACTTAGACATAAGTAATTAAAATATTAATGAGATAAACCCTGTTTATACCTCTAAATCTTTAGAGAAATACTATTATAAGTGTCCCTTTCCTTTAAGATTTACTTTTTGAAGAACCTGAACCCTTCCAAAATTCGTATTCTGGAAAAGCCATTTATGAATGAAACATTGATGGGTTAAATGACAAATAAATCCTTGATACAATACATAGAATGATTATGTATTCCACTGTTTGTAAACAAAACGGAAACTCCGACAGTGATATTGCCACCTTCATACCCACTGGATTTGTCGGTCAATTAAGAGGCTGGTGGGATCATTATCTCACCGATAGTCAGAAAAAGGATATTCTTGACCATAAGAAAAGGATTAAGTCTGAAGCTCCAATAATCGGAGCAAGTGGTGTTGGCACCACAGGCGAAGAAGATGCAGTTTATACACTGTGTTTCTCTATCCTTCAGCATTTTGTTGGAACCAATATCCCTATTGGAGAAAAAATTCAAACTCTACTCCAAAATCTAAGATGTCCTTCCCTTACACATTTTAGATGGTACAAAGACACATTTTGTCTAGAATTTATCAATTAAAAAACCCAAATTCTATCCATTGGAAAGCCAAATTTATTGATGGTTTACCCCATTTCTTTTCTGAAAAGGTTAGACATTCTTTAAGAAGTAAAAATGATGGGATAAATATTAACTATCCTGATCTTACCTATGGTCAAATTATAAGCACTTGTGTTAATGAAGGATTAACTTTATGTAATGATATTAAGCTTAAAAATCAGCTTAGGAAACAAAAACTTTCTGAAAAACACCAAATGGGTGAATTCTGCGATCAGTTCGCCTTCGATCTTGGTAAATCCTCTGAGAATAAAAAGAAAAAGAGGAAATTTTTCAGGAATAAACCTCATAAAAATAAGGATAATTATAAAAATTCTTATAAGAAGAATAAGAAAAGAAGTCACTTTAATAAAAGTAGACCAAAAGAAAAGACCTTTATTCATAAAGGCAAAAGAAAAGCAAAAATGCTTGATGTATCTTGCCACAAATATGGTAAGGCTGGTCACTATGCAAACCAATGTTGGACCAAGAAAGCTCTCAATGAGATTGAGGATGAACAATTACACTCTCAACTTGAGAAAGTTTGTTTACTCAAGTCAGACTCAGAAACTAATTCTTATAATGAAGATATTGACATGATCTATGAATCATCATCAGATTATTCTTCTGATAATTCTGACAATAATAATTGTCAATGTAATCAAATTGATTACTGGAAGTCTATTGTTGACATGAATGGTCTTAATGTTCTTACTACAGAACAAGATGAAGCCATAAAGGCTATTGAGTCTATTTTTGATAGTAACCTTAAAATAAAAATGCTTGATGTTTTAATTAAAGAAAAATCTAAAAAAGAATCTCCTATTATTAGTGAAGCACCCTACCAATTAAGTGAGATTTTATCCAGATTCCAACAATCCAATATCCGTGAAACTCCTGTTTTCCTTACTGATTTAAATAGAGAAATTTTGAAATATGAAATTACTCAGATAAAGAAAGATAATAAAAAATTTCTCTCAAAGGGTCTTGTAATACCCCAAATTTTACCCTTTCTTTTTTATTTTTATTTTAAATTCTTATTAACTTAATAAATTAACCTTTTTTTTAAATCTTGTTTTTTTAACTAATAATAATTTAATTAACCTTTTTTATAACTTTACTAATGTTTTTTATTAACTTTTTTTTTTTTAGTTTATTTATTTAAGTCATTTTAAGCTCTTCTTACTAACTTTTAGGATTTAGATTAAAATTTAACTTTTTTTTCTTTTCTTTAAAGAGTAAATTTTTTATAACCTTTTTTAAATTAATTTCTAACACTTTTTTTTTTAATCAAATTCTAATACTTTTTTTTAAATAAAAATCTAATACTTTTTTAAAATTAAATCTTTTTTTTCTAACTTTTTAAAATTAAATCTTTTTTCTAACCTTTTAAAGCTAAATCTTTTTTTTCTAACTTTTTTAAAGTTAAATATTTTTTTCTAACTTCTTTTTAAAATTAAATCTTTTTTCTAACTTTTTTAAAGTTGAATATTTTTTTCTAACTTTTTTTAAAACTAAATCTTTTTTTTCTAACTTTTTTAAAGTTAAATATTTTTTTCTAACTTCTTTTTAAAAATTAAATCTTTTTCTAACTTTTTAAAATTAAAACTTTTTTTCTAACTCTTTAAAGTTAAATCTTTTTCTAACTTTTTAAAATTAAAACTTTTTTTCTAACTCTTTTAAAGCTAAATCTTTTTTTTCTAACTTTTTTAAAGTTAAATCTTTTTTTCTATTTTTTTTAAAAAAAATCAAATCTTTTTTCTAACTATTTTAAAAGTTAAATCCTTTTTTTTCTACCTTTTAAAGTTAAATCTTTTGTCTAACTCTTTTTAAAAAATTAAATCTTTTTTTCTCTAACTTCTCTTTTTAAAAATTAAATCTTTTTTCTCTAACTTCTTTTTTAAAAATTAAATCTTTTTTTCTCTAGCTTCTTTTTAAAATTAATTTTTTTTTCTAACTTTTTTTTAAAATTAAATCTAAATCTTTTTTTGACACCTTTATTTTTCAAATTAAAATTCTAAATTCTTTTTAAAATTAAATTCTAACGCCCTTTTCTTTTTTTTTTTTTTTTTTTTTTTAAATTCTAAATTCCTTTTAAAATGAAATTCTAACAGTTTTTAAAATAATTCTAACATTTTTTAAAACCAACATTCAAATATTTTTTTTTTATTTATTCTAACTCATTTTTTTTTAAAACTCTAATTTTTTATTTAACTTGAAACTCTAATCTTCTTTGCTAACTTTTTAAATTTAAATCTCAACACTTTTTTAATCTAATCCAATCTTAATGAATTCCAGATAGAGTTAAATCAAATCAATCAGATCAATCATCATCATAAGAAAATCAGATCTAAATATCAACATCACCATCATTGAATCAAATCTGAAATCATCATAAAAATTCATTCAAATCAAATCAGAGATTGAAAAAGATTGAGATATTCAAATTAAATCTGAGATTAAAAAAAAGATTTAAAAATCAAGTATAAAAGGGACGAAAATCATAACAAGAAAGGGAGAACTTTTTTCGTAAAATCCAAGCAAACTCCGTCAAAAATCCTCTAGCCTCAGGACAAAGCATCATCGGCCATCATCATTCCGTAAGGATCAAAAAATATAATTACAATTTTTGTGTTGCTTTTCATGTTTTTCAGGAAAAAGAGATGAAGAAGACAAATCGGTGGTCATGCAAAAGAAGAAGAAGATAACATCCGTGAGAGGCAAACAAGAAGGAGAGGAACACACGCAAACTCAGAGAGCAGAGAGAAGAAGGGTGATGACCGGCCCAACCCCTTTATTTTTTTTGTTTTAAAAAAATTGTTTTTTAACCTTTTATTTTTGTTTTTTGCTTTTTTTAAAACTATTTTATTTTATAATTAAAAAACTGTTAAAAAAAAAACCCTTTTGTAAAAAATATTGAAATTGTTTTTTTTTAAAATAAGTAAAAACTTTAAAAACCTTTTTATAAAAAACCTCTTTTCATATAATAAAAATAAAACTTTTTTATAAATAACTTAAAATATTTTTTAAAATTAAACTTTTTTTTAAGATAAAAATTAAACCTTCTTTTTAAAATTTAAGTCTCTTTTTTTAAACTAATATTAATTTCTCTTTAAAATTTACTCTAAAATCTTTTTGCATTTTTGTATTCTCCTTTAATATTATTTGTTTTCATCTAACCTTTCACTAACGATTTTTTTTCAGTTTCTCTCTGCAGATTAAATTCCAATTCATTATTATATATGTATCTGTTTCCCGGTTGTAATTTTGCGAGACAATTGTCGCATTATCTTTTTTTTTCCAGTACTTTTTATTTCATAACTGTGCATTTATTCACCTACCATCACATTTTACACTTATCAATTATTTTGTCACACTACACACATCCGAAAGTTAGGTCTAGCTTTTGGTCGCCGCACCAATAGTCCTCACCTTCAACCCCTACACCTTTACAAACCCTAATTTTCCATACATGTCTCGCTGTGGACAAAATTACCAATTTTACCCCTAGCATTAGGTCAAAGAGCCGCCGCGCTCATTTTAGGGTTTCCCGCCGTGGAATCCCTAATTTAACCCTAATTACAACTTAACAATTCAACATAGAGATTTGGAGTTTCCACACTCCACGTAAGCGTGTCCTTAAGATACGTTTATTCCCCTTGAGACCTTGACCACAGTCAAGAAGTCTCTAACCTCCCTTTTGAGGGGAACTACGATTACTCTGATTCCATTCCCGTAAGGATACGTAGGCACAAGATGCGATGTCTTGCCGAGTAAACTTAGAATTAACCCTTAGGTCTTCTTTCTCACTTTTAATCCTTTGTACATATACCTTAAGCAAATAAATAAAGCAAATAGTAAACATCTGAACAAAAGGTTCCTGTAGAGTACTACAGAAGTTTAGGGTGCTAATACCTTCCCTAAATTTAACCAACCCCCGAACCCTAGATCTTTCCCCGCATTGTGTTTACGATGCAAAATAGGTTTTCCCTTTTTGACCTTTTCCTTCGGATAAATCAAAGAGCGGTTGTGAATTGAATTGCGATTCAAACTCATTAATAGTTTGTGATCCTATTTCCACCGCAACAGAAAATGGCGACTTCACTGGGGAGTATTCTTACTTTTGAGGGTTATCCCTAACTTGTTCATATTTATTACTATTTGTTTTACTATTCATTTGCATGTATATATTGTACTTTGATTTTGGGATGGTTCCTTGTGCTGTGAGATAGGTCCTAACCCGGATCTAGTGTACCTTAGGTAAATGGCAATAGACCAAGGAGACTGTACGACGTATATCGATACGGTTGATCTGGTGGCCATAGTTAGTGCGACTTCTTGGTTGGTGCTTATATTCCTTAAGTCAAGTTGAGGATAATATTGAGGCTGCCATATGTTGTCAATGCACTAACTGACTTTTAGAACCCTAGTTAACTCATCTTGGCCTTTAGAAAGTAGTGAGGTAACCGGCTTTGGTGCAGACTAAAGTTGGTTGACACTCGATACTACGCTCATTGAGATCTTAAACTTGGAGGGTTTTGGTTGGCAAGTAAGTTGCCTTCTGAACAACCATCCTTGTGAAAGATCAATGATATTGAGATCCCTTAGAACCTGGTTACTTTTGTAGGACAGGATGAACCATCTAACTTCAGGGGAGGGTACTTGCCTTTGAACCTCATGCAAGCCTTTAACCTAAGACTTTGTGTGTTTTCATGCATTGCATCCATAAAGCATCTCATCGCATTGTATTTCATGAAGTTCAAACATCATTTATGGATATTGCGGGATACCATAAATAAAAAAAAATAGAATGAAAAAAACAAGAAAAAGATTTCTTTGGTACCCCACGACATTCGTAAATGTTTTGAATTCCATGAAATCTTCATTTACATTCACATTTTAGCATCATACTTTTGCATTACATGTGTCTCCCGATTTCTCACACTCGGTTCTCTCACCTTCCAGTTTCGTCACCCTGAGTTCTC